ATTAGTTATTACGTTGCAATAATAAAAATAATACTACCTTATACAGAGAGTGTTCTAAAAATTTATTTTAAATAATTATTAGCTTCAAACGGCAATAACTTGTTTAATTTAAATGGAACACCCTGTATATTTTATGAGAACCAGATGCAGAAATTGATTGTCTATCAAATTGTATTATACCATTTTTACCTATATCTTTAAGTTTCCGTAGAAAATGCATTTTCTTGTAATTTAGAACTTATTTATCAATATACCCATGGAATACTGACATTTTTAGATTATTTTTAATGATGTACAAAATTTTTAAAGAGTACAGATAATAATATTGCCGATATAATTCGTTTATTTTATTAAAATAAAAAAAACTGTTTAAATATTTGTTAAAGAGGACGAATTAATATGATTCCAGTATTCAAACTACATTAACTGACTGTTTGCCCCAAATTCTAAAAAACTGAGTTTTGTATTTGTATTAGACAGCGTGGTAAAAAGTAAAACCTTAAAAATGATATTTCATTTTTTAATAAATGCTTATTTATAACAACAGAGACCAGGGCCTATTTTTCATCTGGTCGGGCCCTAAGGCCCAAGCAAAAATTCGGGCCCTCTTTTCCAATAAAACTCAAAAATTCAAGAAATTATGCATATTTTACAACCTTTAACGGGCCCCCCAGACCACCGGGTCCAAAGCCCGGGCCTTATGGTAAAATAGGCCCTGACAGAGACGTTCATTTTCATAACTTATTATTATATTGATTTCTGATTCAAATCCACATTTATTTAACGAACACAATTAAGTATGTAATTAATTAGTATTTGGGCGGAAATATTCGTGTTATATTTAATTAATGGTATACTCTTTTACAAAGATTTAAATAGTTTTCTTTTTGTATACAAATGGGGCTAGTAATATTATCGTTTTGCTAAAAACGAGATTATTAATAGCCTGTACATTTTGTTCATTTGTTGCTTTAAAAACAATCTAAAATGTCAATATTCCATGGGTATGTTGATAAATTACGATCTAAATTATAAGAAAATGCATTTTCTACGAAAACTTGAAGGGATAGGTAAAAAATGGTATAATACAATTGATAGACAATTAAATTGTGCATCTGATTCTCCTGAAATATACAGGGCGTTCCATTTAAATTAAAGAAGTTATTGGCGTTTAAAGCTAGAAATAATTTAAAATAATGTTTTAGACACTCTGTATGAGGTAGTATTATTTTTACTATTGCAACACAATAACTGATCAATAAATAAACTTCAGTAAATATTTAATATTAAAAACTTTGATACCCTTGGAGAAATGAAGCCTTAAAATTTTTACTGCAATTTCACAAAATTGAAAATATTTCAAAAACAGTAAGGTTTAAGTATGATAAACCTTAATCAAATTTACCTTTATTTTAATCGTAGAAACTAAAAATGCAATAATATATAAGGTGTTCCATTTAAAAAAATACAACTTTGATATTTTTTATTTATTTGGGACACTCTGTATCTTGTAAACATATTTTTAAATTGTAACTCTAATAGTCCTTCAGCGAACCCAAAAATTTACAATTTGTAAAAATCTAATCGTTTAGCTACAATACTCCGTGTCGTATGTGGTGAACAACCCTGTATATAGCCATCTTGATTACAATTTTATTGAAAAATCGCTTTTTATTCAAAATCTGAGCCAGATAGGTATAGGAAACCCTAATATAGTTTGAAAGAGGATCTAAATCGGCTTCGACTTATTTAAAAAAATACATAGTGTTGTATTTGAAATAACGAAATTTTTATATAAAATAAATATTTAAAATAGACCAGCAAGTTTTGATATCCCTGTATACATTTATGGAAGCAATCAAATTTTTTAGTAAAGTTTATTTTTCTGGCTTGAAAGTCAGCACAAGATTTAATTCTGAAAAGTAATGTACAAGGTGTTGATAAACTTTTTTAATATAGCATGCATATTTAAATATCTTTTAATATCTCAAAACCCAAAGCTTTTAAACATATTAAACCCTTATAATAACTGCTTTATTTTATGTCCAAGAATCCCAAAATGAAATAAAGTTCTGACACACCCTGTACATTTCAAAATAATTTTAAATTATGCACATTGTCTTCCTACATATACCCATAAAATATTTTGTTTTTATATTTTTTTGTTTTCGTATAAACAACCGAGGTGAATGAGGTGCGCCACCCTGTATGTAAAGACCATTTAACTCGAAATACCAAGTATGTGGTACCAAATTCGTAAAAACAATGCTAATGAGTCACATTTGTTCCATTTGAAAAAACTGATTTATGATAATACCAAATGGGCATCTAGTAATCGGTCATGAAAAGACATACTAATATAAACATTAACATTAGACAATCAAATCCAGGGGTGGATGGGGAAGTGGAAACCGGCCCGGGAAAAACAGACAACCGGCCCAAATCCACAAAAACAAAATGACCATATCGAAGAAATATAGTTTATTTATTAATACAAGGTGTCCCAGAAATAAGTGCAAGTATTTTAACTGGTAGTATAGTTGAAGCCCAGAAACACGCCTATGATGTTTTTTTCGCAAAAAAAAACTTTTGAAAATTCGGAATTATTTTAAAATTGTTTTGGATTTTTTTTAGTTTTTAGTTAAAAAAAATAATTTCTTGATAATATGGCAACATAGGTAGTAGATTAAATTTACAAGAAAGAAAATCCAGAGAAGATCCAGTGATCCATTCTCAAAATTTGAGCAAAAAATTATTTTTTTTTTGGAAATTTTCAAAGTAAAATAACAGCGTTATTTTGGACTTATTTGAAAAACGATGAAGAGAAAACATGTTTCATTTATCGAGATCTACCACTCCTTAAAATACTAGCACTTATTTCTGGGACAACCTGTATATAAGTAAGGGTGTTTTTCGCTCGTGCGAAAAAGCTCTTTTGCCTCCGGTTTAAAAAAAAAATTGTCTTGATCAAAATTTTCGTAAAGACCAATATTGGGTCGGACATCTGAATTTTTACTACAAAATGGCTCAGTTTTGCAGGGTTCTACTGCTTTATTTCCATTATCGATAACGGTAATTTGATCTTGAATAGGCTATGATTCTGAGTCACGATTTTGAGAAACTTTAAGACTTCCTGATTCATTCAGTTCAGCTGACCCAATCCTCTGTGAAATACATTACTTTTAGCTTTTCGGGTATATACTTTCTTACACATTATAGAAAGAAATTCTCTCTTTTCTGCTTCAGAAGCAGCTTCCTCGGGTACACGTGTTTTTAACTGAATGAACCGCGGTCGCCATTAAAACTGCAGCATTTTTTAGGTTATTATATAGTTCTTATCACGAAACTTTTCCTCTATACTTTTGTACATTTGGCATCTTGTATGATAATGCCATGACTCAAACGAGAAGAACCTAGGCAATACCTAGGCAGTGGATATAAATGTGTTCTGATGTAATGTTATGTTACAGTCCATAATAAGAATATTTGGATTTTCGAGACATATTAATATTTTATTATCTAATCTAGTTTACACGTTACTTAACTCTTCTCTGCTGTCTCAGTAATTTTTAGCAAATTCATTTTAGCAACATTTTAAACAACAATTTAGACTTGGCTTTTAGTTACGTCTTCCGTCCCCAATTCAAGCCAAGCATAGATATGTTTTCTCCGTCAACCGCAGAATTCGCGTCAAATTCGTCTACCTTCTTACAAAGGGGAGCTCGAAAAGTATTGCATCGAGGCCCCCAGTTGTCAATCTACGCTACCGTATTCTTACTATACCTTTAGATCGAGACTATTTAAATTTACCTAAAGCTATTCATTCTTTTTTTTTGCTGCCAGCCAGTCATATTTATTGGTTATTAATAAAAGAATATTGGGTAAAACTATACAGGGTGAGTGTTAAATAAGTGCAAATATTTTCAGGGGCCGTATATTTCGACCCCAGGAACACGTCTATGAGTTTTTTTTTGCAAAAAAAGATGTTAAAAAATCGAGCATTTTCTTTTAAATGTTTCTGTATATTTTAGAAAACTTTTTAGAACTTCTGTTCACAGCAAATTTTCCCCCCACGGTATAGTTTCTTAATCTCTGATATTAAGGCACTAAAAGATGTTAGTACCGAAAAATTGAGGTGGCACAAATTAAAAAAAAAATCTATTTTTTTTTAGTTTACAAACTTTAATAACTCGATTGGACTTATTTGAAACTCGATAAAGAAAATATATTATGTTTATTTTATTGAGATCTACCAGCCCTGAAAATATGTGTTCCTTATAGACTCACTTTGTATAATAAAAATTTTCAAACCGAACAAACAAAAGATGATTATTAAAATTATAAGTGTCCCAGAGAAAGATATTTTACAATAGTTATTTTACAAATTGGTGTTTATGTTTAAAAGCAACTGACGATTATACCGATGAATATTGATTAGTTAGTTATGGAGTCACTAAGGATCTTACGTCACTTTAGTTAGAAGATTAACCATTTAATTTTTGCTAATCCAATCTTTTTTGAGCTCTGATCGGGACCGGCCCACCGGCCCATTTTTCCACCGGCCCACCGGGAATTTTCCCGTTTTCCCATATGGCCCATCCACCCCTGATCAAATCTATTTTTCCAAAGCTCCTTGATTAAAAATTAATGTTTTTAGGACAGCCATTAAAAATGTCAAAAGTTGACATATGATATACCTATTCGGAATGTCATTTTTTTATAAAATAAAGTAAAACAATACCGAGTGTATCATTTAAAAATCAAAAATTTTAGTTAGTTCTGATGAAACAGGAAGTGACTAAAACTAAAAATAATGTGAATCACGATCCCGATTTATGTCATAAACTAACACACCAAATTTAGTTTTTTATCTGAATAAATAAATAGTTATAGGGGTGAGTCACAACACCCGGCATATCTAAATTAAAAAATCAACGTATCGATATAAGAATCATAAATTAAACAATATCGGTGACACAATATATAAATAATATACTTACTTAAAAAACGCTATACGACAATTTATAGACATTACCCTCGATCAGATATCATTATAATTAACACAACACAAATAAACTAGACGTTTTGTTCTGGGGCACACAACAGAAATATAACTTGTAATGAATCACAAACTATTATTCCTATATAGCAAACTGGTAGTATTCTTTCAATACATCTTAATTAAATGCAAGCACTTTCGACGATCCGGTTCAAACGTAAAATCGGAATAAGCGCTGTTTGTAACTTTTACGGGCCTAGACACACCTGTCTTTTCTTAGTTGGCTGGTTTGTGTTCAGTGACTGAAAAGTTTTCCCCCGGCTTTAGAATCACTCGAAAAGAAAACGTTACGTTTGAAGAACTCCACCGCGGAAATATCATGATTTCGATGCACAAAAGTTAGAGGGTTATAAATACTATTATACAGGGTCCGGCAATAGTGCGTCGGGCATCTGTAGCTCCTAGAATAAAAAACATGAGAATTTTGTTTAAGTGCAAACCTAAAGTATGTACTAGGATGTATTTCAGGAAAAAAAAGTGTGAATGGATTGGGATGATTTTTTTTAAATGGAACACCCTGTATAATACTCCATTTTTGGCTTCCTTTCAGATCACTTTATATAATCCTAAGATATGAGTAAATATATTTCGATAGTTTCAGAGATATTAATAAATAAATAAAAAATATATATTTTCCTGCCTTTCTTAAAAAAAAAATATTAAAAATACAAAAACAATCCGGAAATCAAAACTGCATTAGGTATTTAGTCTAGATGGTCTGTACTTACTTTGCTATAAATATAGTAATCGTAAATCATACAAGACGTTCAAAATGCTACGCCAAACTTTCTAAAATATAAAATAATTTTTCTTCGTTATTTTAAATGGAACACCCTGTATATTATTTTTTCAATAGATGGAGAATTAAGAAACGAACATTTTTTGTATTTAGAGTATTTCAAAATTTTTAATGGTTTCGCAGATATTTGCGGTTTTATATTTCATATGGCATTTTCCGTAGTAAATTTTTATCAAAGCCACCCAATAATTTTTCTCTCGTATTTTACCATTAAGAGAGCCATATAAAATGATACTGCGTGTATATGCGAAACCATTAAAAATTTTGAAATACTTTAAATTCAAAAAATGTTCATTTTTTAATTTTCCATCTACTCAAAAAATAATATACAGGGCGTTCCATTTAAAAAAACAAAGAAAAATTATTTTACATTTTAGAAAGTTTGGCGTAGAATTTTGAACATCCTGCATGATTTCAGATTGCGATATTTATAGCAAAGTAAGTTTAGACTATCTAAAGGAAATACCTAATATAGTTTTGGTTTCAGGACAGTTCTAGTATTTTTAATATTTTTTTTTTAAAAAGGCTGAAAAATATATATTTTTTATTTATTTATTAATATCTCTGAAACTATCGAAAAATATTTACTCATATCTTAAAATTATGAAGAGTGACCTGAAAGGAAGCTAAAAAAACAATAATATACAGGGTGTTCCATTTAAAAAATATCATCGCGATCTACTCACACTTTTTTGAGCCACCCTACAGAAGTTAAAATATTTTTCTGAAATACATCCTCGTACATAGTTTAGGTTTACACTTAAACAAAATTTCCAAGTTTTTTATTCTAGGAGCTACAGATGCCCGACGCACAGTGCTTCGTCCCATGGACAAAAATCGAAAAAAAAAAGTTAAAATTTATTAATATCTGAATATGTAATTATATACTTATAGCAATGTTCAACCATCCTGTATATTATTTTTCATAAACAGCGTTTTTTGTTAGCAAATATTTTCACTAAAAATAAATTTTGCGATCATTATCTTATCAGTGAAAAGAATAACATTCATAGTAGTTCTGTATATTATGGGTTAACGGTACGTACTTAATTGAAAGCCACTATGAATATTGTTAAACAAGGTATGTACTTTAAATTTATTTCTAAACAAGGTCGTGATTGTTTAGTTTTTATTTATTTTTTAAGATGATTCTTAAATGGGTATAAAAATTTTACGTTTTCAAACTTCAAAAAGGCATTTAAAAAAAAACATCAAAACATATCGTATTTATTAAATATTTTTGTTGTCATATTCATACACTTTTAATTTTTGTATAGTTCACCTACGTCTGCTTGCGACGAACTTTATTTTATAATACTTTTCAGATGGAGTAAAATTGATAAGCAATGCCGATCTGGTTAATACTTGGCTCGATCATAAGGACAAGAAATCAAAATTATATGTATTTCAAAAAATGTGTTCTTTATTAGATATTGATGAACCCTCCAGTCAAATGAGACACCACTTGTGCCTGAAAAAGTCCACTATGTTGGAGCGAAACGTCGCATAAAAAAAGTTTCCATCTTTCAGTTTATTATAAAACCACATACCCAAGAAAAGGAAAAAATAATATATGGATATGGTCTATTAAAGAGGTAACTATTAACATCTGAACCCCTCATACCAACAAAAAGAACAGTAACAACGCGAAAAAGTAACATATTATAAAATGATGTACAGAAATATCTTATATGTGAGGATACATCGTCTACCTGTGATTTGGATACTATAAATTTGGAAGATTCTGTCAGCAGTGATTCTTCTGAATCAGAGTAGTTACGATCTATGCATTTTGTTGTCCTAAAGTAAATTTATAGTATCTTAAGTTTTTTTTTAATTAAATATTACTTTAATAAAAATGTTTTTCTTTAATTAATTAAAGAAAAACATTTTTATTTTATATTAGACTTATATTGTAGGAATCATGTTCTAATGTTATTTCAATTCTTTTTTATCACAGGGATTTATTTAATACTTACACCGTTTTCATACTATAAATTAATTATTATTTGCTTAGATGGAACACATATTATATAGATGGAACACAATATTATTTATAAGATTTTTTTCATAAACGTGGGACTAAGAACATCATCATTTAGTACAATGAGAGTACTCATCATTTGTGTCAAATAAACCTAGTTTGAATAAATTGCCTACTATAAAAGAGAAGTTTTGCATTTTTGCCCTCTAGAGCCATATGTTCGAAGCACTGTGCGACGCACTATTGCCGGACCCTGTATAATCTGTCCTAAAAAAACTACCTAACTTGTACGTTCGTATACGATTCTATTTTTTTACAAACCTTGTTATTATAGGTATTTTAGGATGTAACATAAAACAAATTTAAAAGTTTAAATTAAGGAATCGAATAACAATAATTGAAGAAAAAAGGTGTACAGGGTGAGTCAAATTGGACGCTTTTAAAATTTTACGCTTTCCTTTTTCTATATACGGGGTGGTCCGATCAAAATAAGTAAGAAAGTTCGTATAAATGTATGTCCTAAAATACTTAGTTTTGGAGATACAGGGTGTAGGTAGAAGTTACAATTTTATTTCGATTTTTTCCAAACAATTTCTGAAGTAACGTAAATATTTGGATGAAAATTGGTGTCTGGGAGTTTTTTGACATGACAAATTTGATTTTCATGTCAATATGACTTCTACTTGTAGAGGGCGCCACCTACATATTTTTAACTGTTTTGAAGAGTAATAACTTTTCGTCCTTACATGTATAAGAGAACTGAGTAAAAAAATATGCATTTACAACGTTTTTTACGTAAAAAATATCTCTTTTATTTGGAATTGAAATTATCAAAACCTAACATCTTTGTCATAATAAATTAAGCATGTTGACTAAATAGTTATTAGGCTGAACAAGGGCTGAACTCATAAATTTGAAATGTTTTTGTGCTAAAAGTTCTTTATCATCATTTTTTCTCAGAAAAATTTAAGATTAATTTAAAAAAAAATAAAAAGTTCCCAAATTTATCATTTCAGTCAAATATCTGTCTACTCAACATGCTTATTTTTTGTCAATAATGGCATGTATTGACTATTTCCATTCTAAATATCTTGAGAACGGTTGTTCGTAGCGAATTTTGCCAAGAGGCATTTTGTACGTAAAAAATCACGGAAATGTATATTTTTTCACTCAGTAGTTTTATACAGGTACAGACGAAAAGTTATTACTCTCCAAAACAGTTAAAACACATGTAGGTGGCGCCCTCTACAAATAGGAGTCATATTGACATTAAAATCAAATTTCTCATGTCAAAAAACTCCCAGGCGCTAATTTTCATCCAAATATTGACGGTACTTCGAAACTAAGCATTTTCGGACACACATTTATATAAACTTTTTTAATTATTTTTATCTGCAGAATATGCTGCCGAAGTTTCCGGAATACAGTTCGGACCACCCTGTATACAGGGTTGTTCACCACATACGACACGGAGTATTGTGGCTAAACGATGATATTTTTACAAATTGTAAGTTTGGGGTTCGTTGAAGGACTATTAGAGGTACAATTTAAAAATATTTTTACAAGATACAGAGTGTCCCAAATAAATAAAAAATATCAAAGTTGTATTTTTTTAAATGGAACACCCTGTATATTATTACATTTTTAGTTTCTACGATTAAAATAAAGGTAAATTTGATTAAGGTTTATTATACTTAAACATTACGTTTTTGAAATATTTTCAATTTTGTGAAATTGCAGTAAAAATTTTAAAGCTTTATTTCTCCAAGGGTATCAATGTTTTTAATACTAAATATTTAATGAAGTTTATTTATTGATCAGTTATTGTGTTGCAATAATAAAAATAATACTACTTTATAGAGAGTGTCTAAAAATTTACTTTAAATAATTATTAACTTCAAACGGCAACAACTTCTTTAATTTAAATAGAATGCCCTGTATATTTTAGGAGAATCAGATGCACAATTAAATTGTCTATCAAATTGTATTATGCCATTTTTTATCTATCCCTTCAAGTTTTCGTAGAAAATGCATTTTCTTATAATTTAGACTTCATTTATCAATATATCCATGGAATATTGACATTTTAGATTGTTTTTAAAGCAGCAAATGTACAAAATGTACAGACTAGTAATATTATCGTTTTTAGCAAAACGATAATATTACTAGCCCATTTGTATGCAAAAAGAAAACTATTTAAATCTTTATCAAAGAGTATACCATTAATTAAATATAACACCATTATTTCCGCCCATATACTAATTAATTACATACTTAATTGTGTTCGTTAATAAATTATTATAAATAAATGTGGATTTGAGTCAGAAATCAATATAATAATAAGTTATCAAATTAAAGTCTCTGTTGTTATAAATAAGTATTTATGAAAAATGAAATATCATTTTTAAGGTGTTACTTTTTATCACACTGTCTAATGC